CCAGCCCCCCCCCTCCCCCCCCCCCCTCCCCCAGAAAGCGAGTACACGCACTCCGAATTGATCCTACTTCGAGCCACACCTTTTGTCTTGTCGTCAAGTCTGCTTCTTTCTTACTCATTCCTTCACAAGAGAGGGCAATGATGCTGAAAAAGAAGAGGGATGGCACCAAAAGCAGCTCGCGAAGGGGGGAGAAAACTTCATATTTATTACTGTATTAAGGCTATATTTGTACTGCAGTTCGCCACCTTTTGAGGAAGCGCCCCAGGATATAAAACATTCGGACAAAAAACAAAAGAAGGTGTGCGCTGCCGTGGGCCTAACCGCCAGGCATCACCAAAAACAGCAAGCTCTTCCGGCTAGAGTAACAATTTTTCTCTGACTAGCATCACACTGTGGATAATCCGGCCAAGGACCGATTGATTGCTCTATAAAGGATGGGAACGGTCCCGACACTTTCCGCGTAGAGGGAAGGGGAGGCAGATACGCCAAGCATCACCCAAAGCTACCAGCAGGGAGGTGCGTGGGTGGCCCTTCTGTCCAACCCCCCCCCCCCCCGCTTTCCTCCCGGTCCGCACCGTCTACACGCCCCTCAGCACGAACGGCGGCGGCTGCTGCTGCTTCTGCTGGAGCGAATCCCCCCTGTCCCCCCCGCCAGCCGCCGCCTGCGGCTGCTGGTGCTTGACCGGGGTCACGGGGCCCCCGCCTCCGCTGAGATTGCCACCCTTCCTCTCGGACACGTAAGGTGCCATTCCTGGATCGATCGGGATGGTATGGTCGTCGCGGCACGGCAGCAGCAGCAGCAGCAGCAGCGAGGTAAAAAAAAAGTCCATCAACGAGAGAAGATATACGGGAGTGCCGGTAGCGGCGGGAAAGGAGCGGAATGCAATGACGACGGGAGCGGCATGGGACGGGGTCCGTCTTACAAGGCGGCGACCAACACCAGCAGGCACCCCAAGGAGGCGTGCAGCCATAACCGCCCGTGCGCTCTACAGTACCGGGCCGAATGGAGTAAAATTACAGATGGCCCAATCTGTTTTCAACACCATGAAAGGTGACCACCAAAAACACGACCCGCGCCAGAGGCAGGCACACCAATTGCCCAAAGGTTCAAAAGTCGGCGAAACGCCACCGTAGCAAAACTAGCGAATCCTTCCATCGCCATATAGAGGAAAAGGCGGTTTGCGGGCGGCGGAACTCCCGTCGATTCGATTTCAAGTTGCCCCCACCAACCATTTGCCGTCCACGTCCGAGTACCGTCAAGGGGGTAGGGGGGATCGACACATACTCCATCCAAGGTACCCTTCGCCCGAACTGAAAAGACATCCGCAGCCGGGATGTCTCACACAAAAAAAAAACAAGGCTAGCTAGCGACCGGCACAAATCACACATCACACACCTGGCCCGGGTCCCCCGTAGCCCCCGGTCGGAGACAGCATTTGCGGGGGAATGCCCGCCACCGGCGCGGCGTGCTGTTGCTGGTCCCCCCTCATCATCGACCTGTTCGCACCACCCCCGCCGCCGGCGCCCCCCATCCCAAACGTCACCGCGCCGCCCGCGCTCCCGTCCACGACACCCCCGGATGCCCCCCGGCCGTCGGCCCTTCCGCCGGGCCCCGGGGGCGGCGGGGGCCCCGTTCCTGCGGCTGGTGGGGGTGGCGCGCCGCCGCCGACGCTCATCATGCTCATGGAGTTGTTGAGGTGCATCATGCCGTAGCCGCCGGGTACCTGCTGCGCCGCGTGGAAGGCCGCGGCCTGTTGGGCGGCAACCGCCGCCGCCGCCGGACCTCCGGCGGGGACCTGCATGCCGTAGCGCCCCATCATGCCCTGGGTCGTGAGGAAGTCGAGCGAAGCGCCGTTTCCAAGTTTATTTAGTGAAGCGAAGCGCCGTTCCAGCTAAAGTTGAACGCGGGCAGAGAGTGGGACGAACGCAGCACAAGGGCGTCCGCACACATGCAATACCATCCGCTCGAAGGAAGCCCTCGTGCACTCTTCTGCTTTCTACAGGAGCGCGCTGACGGAGATCAAGAAGCAAAAACCAATCACAGCCGCCAAAAACGAAACGCCTTTCTACACACGCGCAAACCGGCAACCACACCCGTATCAGGCAAACCAGACCCTGTAAAAACGCGAGGGCGCGGCGGAGCGGCGCAACTCATTGTGCACTCACGGATCGCGTCAGTTCGCGAAAATAATAGACAACGTGCTCAAGTTACACCTTGGGAAACCCACGACAGGCAGGTGTTTCCTGGGTCGTCCAAGAGGAGCAAGACTGTAACAACTACCCCCGCGTGCCCTACAAGGCAGTCATCGCATGAAAAAAAATGCAAAAATGCCTCCTCCTCTTCCTCACCTGGTGCGTGAGGGGCGACGAGCCATCCGGTGGGGGTGCCTGCATGCCCATGTTGTTCATGAAGCCGGGGTTCATGTGTCCCCCGTGCCGCGGACCCATGCTCTGAGACAGCCAGAGCACGGACGCGCAAGCACACACACAACAGACCAGGTTGGTGTACACAACAGAACACCGACGGGAAGTTAGTTATTCCGGAGGCGTGAGCAAACGCATGGCACGTATGGCCACATTGCAAACGAGAAATATGCACGAGCAAAAAACTATACATGCATGGGCACGTTGAAGGCGCCGCAGGCAAGAGAAGCGAACGTGCCCACGACACGCTTGGCTCAAACTACCAGACTGCATAAATAGTATCAAGGGACAGCTGTCATAGAACAGGAGGTACAACACATGCCCCGCGAATGTTGTCGTGTGCGGGGAGGACGACAACATTCGTGGCCTCATCACCCTCTCGGATTCATTTCTTGCTCCTCTTCGAAGCGTCCTTTCAGGGACGCGTAGGCTGAAAACCCTGGTTCGCGAAAACCCAGACGGGGCAACCCGCTAAAAGAAAATATGGTGCGGTCCCCCGCCTCGAATAACATATAAACACAAGAAAGGTACAGGTGCCTTTCGCCAGTACCAAGACTCCAAAAGAGTTGCGGAGGATTCAAACCGGGCGAATAACCTACGTCGCCAAGGAACAAAAAAAAAAGGGAAGCGCCAGACACAAAGCGTGACCCCACCAGAATGCCGAAAAAAAAAGAGACTACCACAACACAACGAAGAGGGAACCCGCGACACTCCACATGGCGTCTGCGAGACGAGACGAAACGAGACCAAGTTTTCGGCGGACTGACCCCAAGTTCGGACACACAACAAAAAACAAAGGAAAAGGCGGAATGTTCCCCACCTAGAACTGAGCACCCCACCCACCTGGTTGTTGCCCCGGTACATCCCGCCCCCGCCGCCGCCTCCGCCTCCGCCCCCGCCGCCGCGCCCTCCTTTTCCTTTGCCCCTTCCCCTTCCCTTGCCCTGATGCGGCCCCTGCTGGTTGCCATACTGGTCCCCCGCGCCCTGGATACTGTCCATCCCACGGCCCCCCTTCACACCGTGCTGTTCATTGGTTTACATTGCAACAGGAAGGAAACACGCCAGGTGAGAGGGGCGGCGGAGGTGGAGAGCACGGGTGGTTTCTTCCGACACGCGCAACTCGTTCGGAGTTCCGCACGCGATGCCGTGGAGAGCACCCAAGGACTGAATCGGTTGCAACCAACTCCAAGCCGCCGCCAAAAACGCGTACTACGACAAAACGACTGACACTGAACAGGCGACGGGCCCAGCGGCGAGTGCCGCATACCTATAGTACGTGTTTTCACTCCACCGCTACGGTCTCTGCGGCCATGCTACACCACCTGGAACGATATCTTAAGCTCGACAATTGCACGGGTACAAGGACGGGCGGTGGCGAACGTTGGAACCGTCTCGTCGACGTCTTTCACACCCTTACATTTCGGCAGCCCCTCCTTTGTGGCGTAGATTTCAAAATCGGTCCATGGGTTGTGCGTGGTGCATCACGTGTCACCTACAGTATACTACACACTCTTTCGAAGCTGTACTCACAATCACTACCGTTCAATATATAACTGTACCACAGCCGAACGGGATGGGGTCAAGTCTACCATGCAGCAGTTACTAACTGCTGGATGGCAAGACGTTGTGTGTACAAACGGGAGAAAAACCGGCCAGATGCTGGAAATATTTCGAGTCTATGGCCTCACCTGGCCCTGTTCCTGGCGCTGTACGCGGCGGTGGTGGTCCTCGGCGAACTTGACGAGAAGGCCCTTCTTGGCCCCGGGGAGCACGTGCCCGTTCATGAACTTGAGCGCGTCCTTGGCTTCTCGCCTCGTGTCAAACTGGACGAACGCCGTGCAGCGGCTGATGGTGGTCTTGGGGTCCACCAGGGTCCGGCACTAGATGATTTTACCGTACTGG